GTCTTGTTCAGTTTACATTGAAAAATAATAATAGTAATAATAATAATAATAATAATAATAATAATAATAATAATAATAATAATAATAATAATAATATAATAATAATAATAATAATAATAATAATAATAACAACAATAATAATAATAATAATAATAATAATAATAATAATAATAATGATAATAATAATACATAGAATGAAATAAAATTTGAAAGTTTGTAGTTTTGCGTGAAAAAAATTATTTTCTATGGTGTACGAATATGTAGAGTACATACATTGAATATGTAATATTTATGTGCACACACATATGTTGTTATGTACATGGAAATAATCTTTTTTGTGTATACTAATACAATTTCGTTTCGTTAAATATTGTGTCTATGTTTCTTAGCAATGGCTAATGTTGTTTTGAAACATGTAAAATCATGTGAATATATTATAAATCAATGTAAACAAATCCTTCAATATATAAGGTAGTCATTGTAAAGATTATCAAAAGAGCTGTTTAATAATATTTCAAGAGAAAACTTTAATTAAGAAAAAATGAATTACGATTATATATGATTAATTTCATGTTTTGAACAGCAAAAAGTGTAAAAATACCAGTCAAAAACATAGTTCCTCTTATAAGTTTTAGTAGAATTATATGGTAATTGCTATTCATTTAGTTATGTATCTGTATATTATTTTACAATATTTATTATTTGATAATTTTTTTCAGCAGAATCTGTTATACCCCAACCCTTTTTAAGGCATATAAAAATTCAATTATTCCTATACTAAACGTTTTTTTTTATCCTATATATAAATAAAGAATTTTTTTCAAAAAAAAGTGTCAACCTTTACAATGATCATCCTGTATATCAAAAAGTAAGAATTGTTCTCCATTGAAAGTTGTTTATTTGAGAACATGTTATTGGTACTTCAATCTAACGCACATGAGCATATCTTAATTTAAATAAGTTTTTAACATTATGTAAGTTTGATATTTATACAAATATATACAATTATGTATATACGAATCGTTCAATATAATACGAATATTTTGCAGCATAGTGCTTAATGAAGCATTAGTTATTGATTAATAAATGAAAATATAATGTATAAAAATCTAACAAAGCACAAAAGTACCAATTATTGCTTTTTCTTTTCTTCTTTTTTTGTTTTTTTTTTTGTTTTTTTCCTTCTTTTTTAACTTTATTTCCCTGTCCTCATGTTTCTTTTCTTTAAAGTACAAATGAAATATAAAGCAGTGTGCTGCAATTGTAATATTTTTTATTTACTGATCGATCTTAAGATATACATATATGTATATATCCATTTATAATAAATATTATATAAAGTTTATATTCTTAATGACTTAATTACATTCTTCATACATACACACTAGCCACTCCATAATAAACACATTCGTTTTCTAATTACTGCTAATATGTACATAATATTCATCATTAACTCTAGATCGTTAGACAAGCGGACAGAGTATACAGGTATATGCATAAATTCATTATTTTGCTGATTTATTTCTTTTTTTTCTTTTTCTTTTTTTTTTTTCTTTTTTTTTTCTTTATTTATTTATTTATTAATGTCACAGGTTGGATTTACTGGTTGTAGTCCTCAATTTTTTGCAAAAAGGAAATGTTTATTTTTTCAGTACTTTTTTTTTATATCTTTATTAATACTTCTTTATATTAGACATAACTCAGACAGCTGCCTCACTGATACAGTGAGTTACAGCAGAGTCTATTTGAAGTATGACTTAGTATGTTTCTTTCTACATTCTAGATTGATAATGTACAATAATAGAAGTATTTCAGTTTCATCATTTCATTGCCATGTGTGCCAAAATTTAAATAAAAATAAAATTCTCCCCTTATGAGAGATTTTGTCAGATATAATTAACGTGTTTTCAATTTTTTAATCTTTGGCAAATGCACAATTAGAAAACAGGTCTTTCATTTAAATACGAATCAGATTGTATACAAAAATTATTCTATAAGATTTTGTGCTGATATAATAATTGGCTGAAGATCCCATTCCCTTTGACACACACTCGCTATATTTTGCATAACAAGTATACAAAATGAGGACAGGGTAAGGGGTTCGTCATCTCATTATCTGGACAGCATCCTAATATGCCTATTACCAATAACAATAATAATCCTAATCTAGACACACTAAATTATTACACGATTGATTGCTAGAATGTCTAGTACATCAATCAATTAAGATTATGCTACCAAGTATTATGTAACTGCAAATTTCTTGAAAGAACTGACCGCACGTCCTGTGTAAAGCGTAGAGCATCCAGAACAGGTAGCAAATTCAATAAAGCAGTATCTCCTGCATCGCTAAACCATGATTTGATAGGTATTGCATTGTCTGTTACAATAAAATTAATTATATATATATATATATATGTATATATAGGTATATATATATATATATGTATATATAGGTATATATATATAATATATAATATATATATATATATATGAATATTATAGCTTATATTATCAAATTCATTGGGAATATATAGTCTAAGATAGAATAAAAATTGTCTGCTTTGTACAGACAGTTCTACTTAGTAGAAATAAGCTTCAAATTTTATCCAAATTATCTATGTTTTTACAGCACTATTGAAATTCGCTATTGCTATGCGAGGTATACTAGCAAATCGTAAAGTAAATAGTATCACTTACGTGGATAAGCTCTATAGGCTCCAGGACTATTATCAAGAATAAAGACAGAAGCTAGATCTGAACAAATGGCAGAAAGATTTTTAGTATAGGAACCCATTTCTGGAGTACAATGCTGTCTGTAATATCTGCGCCTTAAAATACCTCGATTGTTATCTAGTTTATCTGCCACAGCTGCACCATAAATTTCCATGGATGCAGTGAAAATTACTAATTCATACCTAAATTTTATTATGATAATATCAATTAACATAGAATATTTTTACATCCTATAATGCATAAAGTAAAATATTATTTTAATCAAAGAGCTTACCATTGACTAACAATGTCCAAGAAAAAATCTACATGTGGCCTTTTATGAACAAAAAATCTAACTGGATGTCGATCTATTGTTACTTTGAGAACAAAATCTGGAGGTGTACCAGGCCTAACAGTTGGCCTCGCTACTCCATCGTGATGAGAATGAATTAAGGTCTCATCCAAATCAAGTACTAACACTTTTCTTTTAACTATATCTGTAATATATATATTACTCATTTAAGAACTATAAATAATAATAGATAATTATTTGAAAATGCAAGTAGAGTAAAATTTTACTTACTAAGTCTATGCCTTGATAAAGGAGATAATGGGAAGATTTCATACTTAACTGGCTGCATTTGTGAAATCTATATAAAAATTAATTCATTTTTACTATAAAGACAACTAATATTTTAAGCGTTGTCAATGAAAAGATTTGTATACAATTTCTATCGCCATTAACGATTAATATAAAATTTCAATTGTGTGCGCGCGTATGTATTTGAAGATAGAAATAAACGTTTGATTTATTTTTTTATACTATCGCAATAATAATAACATATCATTGGGACGATAGAAGATTATGCAACGAGAAAAAGATATATTTTCTTACTGTATGCTGTAAGCTTTTTGGAAAAATCTATAGACGCGAATTGATATCGCAGTAGTATATCTTCTTCGTGCTAGAAGAGAGAAAAAAGAAAAAGAAAAAAAAAAAAAAAGAAAAAGAAAAGAGTAAAACAACTAAGAGGCGCGAAGCACCTACTTACGGCTCTAACCTGCTTCTTGAGTAGAAAACAGACGCATGTCCACACGCGGGAAGCCATCAAGAGAAAAGCTCTCATTCCCATCTGCAATTGTTTCAGCATCTCTACTGATATTATCACCGGGCCGAAGTCCGGCAACGCTTTATCTCCAGTCTCGTTTTCTTTTCGAGTCTCTCTCTCTTTACCCTTTCACACTCGGCTTCACGTTGCGGTGGTCACAAACTTTATCGTAAACAAACGTTATCTTCCAACTATCTTTAATATAGTATATCAGTATTATGATACATATTGCAGACTCCCATTCGGAGGTTTCACTTTACACGTGGAAACAGATTTTTCCATATTTTTTGTATGTTTTCATAAAAATCTATCAGCATAATTCTCTTACGCACATCACATTGCAGCCGCCATCTTTCGCAGATCGACCCAATTTTTCCATGCGCTACGCCACCGCGCATAATGCTGCCAAATATTAAACGTCGTACTTTTGTTAACGCACTTTCTTTCCTCTTAAATAGAAAGATGTTGTAATCCATGAATAACAAAGAGAAAACATTTCGTAAATATATATTAAATAAAGAATCTGGGCGTTAAATCTTTTTCAATCATTTTTAATTTTTGCCGCACTTTTTAAAGCCGCTCTTTTCGTCAGCGCTATTTCTTTTATTTTCAAATGAATATTATCAATTAGTTATCTGTTTTCTCCTTTTCAAAGTTTCTCGATAACATAATTCTATCGTATAATGAGTTTTGATACAAGAAAAAGAGTAATTTTAATTCATATGTTGCTCCTCGAATGTAATACTCGAATGTATTACGAATACTATTACGGATATCAATGTATATAGAGGCAAAACAGTATAGGATGCTCGATAACTTGTTACATATTCCCTTGGAACTGGTAAAAATAAACTGAGCAATAACAGAAATATATCACCATATATATCCTATATTGTTTTTCAATCCCGCCGTTACATTTAGATATTTTTGAAGAAGCAACCTAGAGGTCGTACATTGACGTCGCAATAAAAATTAGATTATATATTTTTGTCAACATTTCAAATGATTGGTTTAAAAGTCATCGATTAATATGCATTTTACAGAGGAATAAGAATCGTTGATTTGTTTATGGTAATAAAATTTCTAATTTGATTTGGACCAATCGCAAAGCATTATGATCTTATGGAAAGACCAATGACAGCGTCATCTTACAGAATATCTACGAATTAACGAATGTATCAACGACGTAAGCCTTAATGTCTGTTATGGCGTTTATAAGAAGCAGCTGCTCGCGTTGCTTCAAAATACCGGACTTGTAGTAAAAAGTTCGTTCGAAAAAGTCGAATCTTGTATTGTTCGATAAAAAAGTTTCTATTTTTTAATTTTTGTGTTAAGTTATCCGACAATATGACGGACTTGACGGAATTGAGAATGAACGTGGCTGCGTTGAAACGCGTTGACCCCTACGTGAAGGATATTCTAGAGACAGCGACTCATGTAGCTTTGTACACTTTTAATGGAGATAATAACGAATGGGAAAAAACTGACATCGAGGGTGCTTTATTTGTTTACTCTCGGAACGGCGAACCGTACAATAGTATTCTCATTATGAATAGGTATTAAATCTTTGTTTTTTTTTTTTTTTTTATTACATATTATAAATCATATATATATATATGTACATAGATATTTATATGTGTATGTAAATGCACATGCATATGTAGGATTACTCTTTACTTATATTTATCCATAGGTTGTTTCTTTTTACCTTCACGATCTCTATTTTTACAGATTGAATACAAATAATTTAGTAGAACCAGTAACGCAAGGCCTAGACTTACAGTTACAAGCACCTTTTCTATTATATAGAAATTCACGGTGTAATATTTATGGTATTTGGTTTTACGACAAAGAAGAGTGTATACGTATAGCAGCCATGTTATATAAACTCGTTATGGAGTCTGAAAAAAATCGAAAGGCAGCTAATAAACCTTCCATTCAAAATAAAAAGAATGCAGGGTCTAATGCGAATAATGTGGATATATTTAGTATGCTTAGTAAAGCTCAAGAGGATTTCAATACGAACAGAGCAAATAGCGGAGGTGGTAGTACTAAACCATCTGAAACCAAATCCCCTACCAATACCCCTGCGACGGATAATAATTCTGGACCTTTTGCGGCTCCATTAGGTCCTGATGTTACCTCGCAAAGTGTAATGGATTTCTTTGCAAAAGCTAAAGTTAGTATTTATTTGATCATTTTGACGCAGTAAGCGTCATACTATTATTCGACATGAAATTGTTAATATGATTTTATTGGTTAGGTAAATACTGGGCATTTCAAAGCCGGTGATCAACCTACCGCTATAAATACAGGGACAAATGAAAATAAGCCATTACTATTGGCACGTTTAATGTCTCATCCAGCAGCACATACATTAGAACATATCGAAAAACAACAGAGATCGATAACTCCACAACCATCGACATTGCAATCACAAACACCTGCTGCTTCTACGACATCGATTAACGTAGCTAGTATAACTTTGTTAGGCAGGTCTAAAAGACGGAACAAAACTGTTTCCCAAGACACGGCGATGTCTACGTCAGCATCAGTTTCTCAAGATCTTCAGCCATCGGTAAACCAAAGCACTAGTGAAACAAACGGTTCATCTGGATTTCTTAGGATACAATCACCAACAAATACAACATCTTCTAACATAACCAATCATCAAACTTCAAATATTATTACACCTAGCAATACAAATCCTCTTGCATCTTTATTTGCTCATGTATCAGGCAATACAGTAAGGATAATTTGCAATTATCTCTTTTTTCTTCTTTTTTTTTTTTATTTCTCTATTTCTACTTTTTCTACTTAATTTTCTACACAAATCTGTTATTCAATGTAGGCTTCAGAAGATATTATCACGACTCCAGCTTTATCGGGTACGGGATCAGCACCTGCATTGATACCTCCTGTAATGTTTGCGGCCCCAAGTCCTGCAGAACCATTAGCTAGGCCATTAGAACCGCTGACAAGGAATCAGCTGCTTCAAGCTTTTAATTATCTCTTGAGAAGTGATCCAGATTTTATCAACAAACTTCACGAAGCTTACGTTAAGTCGTTCGGCGAAATTGTCTTCTAAATACATACTACAAAAAAAAAAAAAAAAAAAAAAAAAGAAAAAAAAACTACAATTTGTAAGCGATTAATAAAACGCATCATGCGGGTTGTGATTATCGACTGACGATATGATCAAGAGAATTTGATATTCCTAAGTTACATATGTGTACATAATATGTCATGCTTGAAATTCGATTGACATTAAAATAGCCGATCACCCAATTTGGGAGAAAAGGCAGGAATAAATGAAAATATATATACCTTGGAACAGTATTTTTATAAACTAAAATGTTTTCTTCTCCAGAACGAATTAGAAGTGCGAACGGAGAGTAATTAAACGTGAAATATGAGTGATTATTACAAAAGAAGGACTTGGATATGAGAGATTCTGTACGATTTCAAACTGTGATGCCAAAACATTTATATTATACTAGCGTTTTATGATTGCAATTTCAAATCAGGATAAGAAGATTTTTTGAGCCGATCAAACAAATGTATGTTTTATAGAGTAATGACGTACCCTTCCCATATATCGGGTATTGACGTGGTATGTATATGTAATTCCTAAAAGAAGAAAAAAGAAAAAAAAAAAAAAAAAAAAAAAAAAGAAAAAAGAAAAAAGATCAAATAAATAGAGATGCAGTATTGAAAAAAACCTTCCGTTATATTTTCCTAAAATTCTTTTATATCGAGTTATCCCTCGCGAGTCGTATGTACCACAAAGTAGACTTGCGATAAAGGTCGAATAACTTTACACAATAATATTAAGTCATACTATCACAATATAAATGTTTATATGGAATACATTTAGAAGTGTGCGATAAATACGCGCTGGACGATCAACGATCGAACGTTGCAAAAATGCCAGTATGTTCATGGAGTAGTTTTTTTTTTTCGGCAATCATTCGTTTGTTTTCTCCCTTACATCATATTTTCTATCTTTTACATAACAAGGCACAGTCGTAACATTACACGTCATCGCTTTTTCGTCGTACATTGCGATGTTATTGATTTCTGCTTAGAGAAAGATCGAGCTTTCCAGAATAATCTCGATCGTATTAGCTTGCATTATATCTCTTGCACGATGATTATTAAGATATTAAAGATAGCTAATCAATAGCGAAGTAAAATACAAATAAATCTATTTACAAGTTGTCGTTTAACGCTACTAAAAAGGTGCGTTACAATATGTAACTTACACATTGCCATCTTTCACTCTCTCACACATTCTCTCTCTCTCTCTCTCTCTCTCTTTCTCTTATCTATTTTATAAAATAATCGCCTCCGTCGGCGTGTTCATATAAAAAATGCGACGATAAGTGCGCGAGTAACGGGTCAATCATAATTTACAATTAAAAAGACGCTTCCCTCGAAGGATTCACAGCCAAGTAGAGCCAGGACAGCTCGCTAGCTTCTTACGTATGTAGTCTTAATTAATTACTCGCTAGGACGCGATTTATAAAGAAGTGTCTTTGGATCGCAAGTTCATTAATTATTTTCTTATTTAAACGAGAGGCACTTTTGCTGGTCCCAGTAATGGCGGCCCGTTATCTGCCGTTCTATGACCTCCGAGTTTGTCGCCTTGCAGAGGTATTGGCTGAAGCAATCTGATCGCAAGACTAGCCAAGACCAAGAGAGCGATTAAGCCACATATTGGAACGGCTATCGTCGCGGTTTTGAACCAGCTATCCGACGACTGACTTCCGTGTCCGGTTGGTTGTACTGGTCCTAGGTACGCACGTTGCTCGTCCAGTAATACTAAAAAAGAAAAAAAAAAGAAACAAGAAAAAAAGATCCCATAATCTTATTATTTGTATTTACTTATAACGAATAAATAGAAAAAAATAGACGAGCGAGTAATGTCGGGATAAATGATAAAAGCCATCTGAACCTTTAACGTAAACGTTAAAAATGCAAACAAATTAAATATAATCACGAATGAGTCATAAAACCGATACGTTTGACGCCAAATGGATTAGCTGTTAAATTATTACGTCAGCTTTTCTCTTTAAGCTCGTATTTATCGTCTATTAGATAATCAATTCTATTCCTACAAACAGTGGAACTTTAGAAAATAATTGAATCTTTGATATCTCTATAAATTTTATATGTAAGAGAGAAAGTGGCTTCGCGATGTAATAATCAGAATGAGAGAACGAACTAACCTTGAAGAGTCTTGTTTAGTCTGTTTCTCATCGCAGGGCTGTCTACGTGATTGCAGAGATCCTGCTCGCAACAAATGAATCCCGTAGGACATTGTTGTTCTTTGAAACTCTTGTCGAGACAACCGCTGTAAGCATTATGTTCCGTCCTTGATAAGGATGAACCAACATTCGAAGGTAATTCGGTGAAACAACCTCTACCGCGACACATATATCCTTGTGGCACACAATCTGGTTGATTACAATAACAACGAACCTCGCCTGCGTCAGATAATTCTGTAAATAAAATATTTTTATTTTATATGTAGAAATACATTTATGATAATACGACGAATAAACGTGTATGTTCTAACATATATAAAAGTATAAATATTTGAAAGCAAAAGAAAATAATTATAAATGAACGACGTGTTGTTAACAAAATGAAAAATGTAACTTTCGTAGAGGTTCGAAAGAAGAGAGGTAATAAGATCAACAGAGACAATTTTCCATCTCGGTGTTTCTCGATCAACGTATCACGTAGAGAACGTTTTCAATTCGTTAACTCGACTCGATTCGTAAATCAGTTAGAATCTCTGGAAAGGATCCGAAGGAAAAACAGGCGGTACACGCGGTACATCCGCGGTAACCGCGTGCTCGACGTAAAATAAATATACAAGCGTTCGCGTACCCTCTACCTTTCTCTCTTTCTCCTTCTCTTTCTGAAGCGTGTTAATGAGAAGGAGGAGAGCTTGCGAAATAAACACGGAGACGCGGAACAGTCCGCGTCCGATGACTAAACCCACACGAGTGTCTTTTTATTTATTATGATAATAACGCAAGGCCATCTTTTTTCACGACTTTTATAATCTCTCATTCTTCCTCTTCTTTCTTGTTTACTTTTCTCTCTCGAACGAGTTTCTATCGCTAATAAGCCAAGAGACGTTCTCTCGAGCGTTCCCTTCTTATCCCTGCTCCTTCTCCGCTCTTCCCTACCCTTTCGTCGACGTGGTCCAGCTCATCGTGGAATAAAAAACGCTAAAACAGCCGAGTCACAAAAGAAAGAGCAAAGTAGAGAGAATATATGGAGAAAGGCATGCGGGGCGGTCTCGTCGTTGCGTGCCTTCGTTCTCTCTTTCTCTTTCTTTCTTTCTCTCTCTCCCTCCCTCCTTCTCCTACTCCCACTCTCTCTCTCTCTCTCTCTCTCTCTCTCTCTCTCTCTCTCTCGCTTGTTTCTCCACGGATGCTCACTCTCGGAGGCTCTCACGAGTCTCTCTCAGAAGAGGCTTTGAGCTGAAGAGACTCGGTGTTTGTATATGTGGACCCCGAAGGATTTTGCGCGTGTATATGCGCGCGCTCGCGCGCGTCTTTAAAATAAAAAGAAGAAAAAAGGGTTAGCAGCGGGAGGTCGAGAGGGCCGAGCAAAAGAGAGATACGACCGACAAGTCCAAGCCCGAGGAAGGCCCGTCCGAAAACAAACAGACTGCTTCGTGGGGCCGTTCGTTATGCGCCCATGGCATATTAATTATTTCCCGATAAGCTGTCCTCCTTCCTTTTCTCTTTTCTCTCTCTCTCTCTCTCTTTCTCTCTCTCTCTCTCTTTTTCCGTCTTTCTTCCTCTATCCTCTTCCATTCTATCCTTTACTTTTCTATCCTCTCCTTCGTATGCTTCTTGCCTGCCTCTGCGTCTTTGAAACAGCCGGACGCGCATTATGCGAGAAATGCACGCGGTCAATGCGAAAGGGAAAGAGGTTGCGTCGATATTTTCGGATCGGCACAATCGGCCGCTCCACATCTAAAAGATGAAAAACGACGAATCGAGATTTGGAATATAGTCATAACCAGCAGTCGCATGAGAACCTCCTTCTTTGGGATTTAAAATTTATTTTTATACGTCAACTTGCCCCAACAAAATCGTCCTCCCTTTCTCTTTGGAAAAAGTATTTTCTGCTAATGACGCTTCTTCGGAAGCGTAATTCAAATCAGCGGCGTAACACGCCCTCTGGAGATAATGAGTCGCACGTTTCAAACGTGGATATGGTCGCAACCAAGAGAGAGAAAGAGAGAGGAAAAAGTTAGGAAGAGAGGAACAGAGAGGACTTGGGATGACGAAGAGAGGATGGAGGATTCGAAGCGGAGAATAATCAACGTGAGGCAAAAAATTCGGTACGCTTTCGATACGCTCGAGGGACGTTCCTTTCATATGTTTTATGCTCGTAAAACTGTCCTCTCTTATACACCCCTCTCCCACCCTTCCTATTCCTCTTCATAATGCATCGACAAACATTAAATCTATTCGTTCGTTCGATCGATCAAACTTTTCAATTTCTTCTCGACTGATTCTAAAGAACTTGTAAACGGCAATGGTGTCCGTCAGAATGAATTTAATTTTAATGAATGATTATACAATTTTTTATTCTCTTTTTAAAATATTTTTGAGAATATCGTCTAAAACGAAAGAAAATTGTGAAATATTTTAATCGCCGTAGAAGTTTATCACCTTTGTCGATGATCTTTGTAGCGTTCGATCCTATGACTGGTACGATGATCCAGCATAGAACTCAACGCGAGCTACGCGGGAGAGTTTGAGAGCGAGAGAAAGAGCCTGGAGGACGGGAACTCGATTTGAACGAGCTCCGTTGTACATGCAATTAGAAGAGCGACGACCTACGTACGATATGCGTGTGTACGTATGCATGTATCTTTTGCTACATATGTATGTGTACGTACGCGCGATATGTAATACTCGCAACTCTGGCAGAGGCCGGACGAAGGAACGAGCATCGGGAACGATAAAACTAATGAGTCTCTCTCTCTCTCTCTCTCTCTCTCTCTCTCTCTCTTCCTCACTATATGCCTGAGGATACAAGGCTCTCTCTTCCTTTCTCTCCACATATCTCTCTCTCTCTCTCTCTTTCTCTTACTCTCTCTTTGAACTCCCATAAATAAGCGTATCTACATAAGACGTTTCGTAAATTCACGTGATTGCGTAATTTCTCATACATACATTTTATAAGAAAGATAATAACGTTAGAAATGATTTCACACTGTATAACTTTTGTTTAGAATCTAAGATGATCATCATTGGGACGTGCAATCTTTTCTTTGTCCCATTTGCAT